GGTGTCTTTGACACACACAAGTTTTTAATTTTGAGAAAAATCCAACTTTTTTACCTTTTGTCATTTGTGCTTGTGGCATTCTATCTAAGAAGGGTTTGCCAAACTCAAGGTAATGAAGATTTACATTTATGTTTTCTTCTAAGCGTTTTGTTGTCTTTGTTTTTACATTTAGGTTGTTGAAGTCCTAAGCAGTACTGCAGAATGTGACTATATTTGGAGATAAAGTTTTTAAAAAGATAATTAAGTTAAAATGAGGTCATTAGGATGGGCCCTACTCTAATATGACTGGTGTCCTTATAAGAAGAGATTAGGATACAGACAGTCACAGTACAAAGGGAAAACCATGTGAGGACACAGGGAGAAGATGGCCATCTACAAACCAAGAAGAGAGGCCTCAGAAGAAATCAACCCTGCTGACACCCTGATCTTGGACTTCTACCCTCCAGAACTCTGAGGCAATACGTTTCTGTTCTTTAGGTCAGTCTGTGGTACTTTGTTATGGTAATTCTAGCAAATTAATACAAAACCCCCATTTGGTCATTGTATCGATATATTATTTTCTTAAATCACTTATTTGCATGTTATTTATGGCTGCTTTGGTGCTACAATGGCAGGGTTGAATAAGCCTGCAAACTCAAAATATTTACTATCTGGGGCTTTAGAAAAAAATCTGCTGACCCCTGCTCTAGTAGCTACTTAGGAGGGGCTTAACATGCAAAGTACTGAGTTCTTACATTTTAAAAAGTTTTTTTTTTTCCTATAGCTTTTTTTTTCTCTTTTTTTTTGCGGTACATGGGCCTCTCACTGTTGTGGTGCCTCCCGTTGCGGAGCACAGGCTCCGGACGCGCAGGCTCAGAGGCCATGGCTCACGGGCCTAGCCACTCTGCAGCATGTGGGATCTTCCTGGATCGGGGCACGAACCCATGTCCCCTGCATTGGCAAGCAGACTCCCCACCACTGTGCCACCAGGGAAGCCCATTTCCTATAGCGTTTGATGCTTGAAAAACAGCATGGATGGATGGATATAAAATTCTTAGCGTGTATTTTCTTTCCTTGAGTTTTTAGAAAATGCTGAAAATGCTGCATCACTATAGCCTTGCTTTGCTCTTAAGAAGTCTGATGCCAAATATTTTGGTTACTCCATAACAGACTAGCCTAAAAGGAACGGCATAAAGAACCACTTTGATTATAATTTCACAACATTTGGGACCAGGAATTCGGGTAGGATTTGGCTGGGTGATTCTTCTGTTCTACGTGGCTTCAACTGGAACCACTCAGTGGTATTCAGCTGATGGCTGGACTGATACAGAGAATTCATAATGACTTCTCTCATATTAGCTAGGATCAGGTAGACCCCTATTCCTCTCCATGTAGTCTCAGAACCTCTCCACAGGGAGTTAGATATTTTACATAGTGGCTTGGGACTTCAAGGGCAAGTGTTCCCAAAGACCCAGGTGGACTCTTCAAGACTTCTTATGACCAAGCCTGGAAGTCTCATAACATCACATATTCTATTGGTCAAGCAATTTGCTTAGGCCAACCTGGATCAAAAGAAGTGATACAGAAAATACAGTCATCTTTAATGTACTGCAGCCTAATTTTCTTACACTTTTAAATAATTTGAAATTTTTATATGAAGGCCTTGAAGATTATCATTGTTATTTTTTGTCTAATAGTTTTTATTTTATTTTATTTTTTAAAATTTATTTTATTTATTTTTGTTTGCTCTGGGTCTTTGTTGCTGCGCGCGGGCTTTCTCTAGTTGCGGTGAGTAGGGGCTACTCTTCGTTGCAGTGCGGGGGCTTCTCATTGCAGTGGCTTCTCTTGTTGTGGAGCACAGGCTCCAGGTGCGTGGGCTTCAGTAGTTGTGGCCATGGGCTCAGTAGTTGTGGCTCGCAGGCTCTTGAGTGCAGGTTCAGTAGTTGTGGCACACAGGCTTAATTGCTCTGCGGCATGTGGGATCTTCCCAGACCAGGGCTCGAACCCGTGTCCCCTGCATTGGCAGGTGGATTCTTAACCACTGTGCCACCAGGGAAGTCCTATTTTTTTATTTTTAAAAATTTTGGCCATACCACATGGCATGTGGGATCTTAGTTCCCTGATCAGGGATTGAACCCGTGCCCCCTGCATTGGAAGCACAGAGTCTTAACCACTGGACTGCCAGGGAAGACCCTGTCTAATAGTTTTAAGAGGCTAGCTCTCAAAATTGATCATTCTGTGGTCATTCTGTGGTCACATGTACTCACAAGTACATGTGAGTCCTTTCATTTTGTAGGTTTATATTTTCTTATTTCAAGAAAGTTTCTTAGATTATAGTTTCATCATATGTGGAACTTTGGCTACATATATGTTGGACCTTCTTTGCTTGTATTCCAATGACAGTCCAAAGAGAGAGAGAAACTAGCACAAAGGTATGGAGGCAAGGGAAAGTAGGAACATTTCAGGAGTTTGGATGGGGGATGTGTAGGAAGAGACAAGAGATGGAGTGGACAAGGGCTAGATAGATGGAAGGTCTTGTGTGCCAGCAGTGACACCACAAGTGGCAAATTAAAAAAAAAACAATTCTGACATGCAGTATGGAATACGGATCAGAAGGAACAAGACTACAGGAGGGAGACAAGATAAAAGGGTATTGCATTAGCCTAGGTAAGCGGAGCTAAGAGGGACAGAGTGTAGACTTATGTTTGAGGAGAATCAATGGGATTGTTAGGTGTGGCGGGGGTGGGCATGGGTAAAGAATGAAGGATGACTCCCAGGTCCTGGGCAACCAAGGGTCCAACAGTTTTAGACAAGTAGAACTTGAGGGGTCTCTAGGACATCCAGGTGGAGAAGTCTAGTACGCTTGTGTGTACATGGAACTCAGATGAGTGGTCTGAGCTAGATAATGCACTTGGGAGTTGCTGATATATGTGGCAGATGAAGACAGGGTGGATGCAACAGCTCGGGGAGAATGTACGGGGTGCGATGAAAGCTGAGAACAGAACCTTGTAGATGGAGGAGTGGTCAGAGGGGTTAGGAAAGCAGCCCCGTTGTGAAGGCCAAGGGGGTGTCAAAAAGAGTAGAGAGCTGTGTGTCGTCAAATGCCACCAAGAGCTCTAGTAATAGAGGACTCAGAAATGGCCTGGGGCATTTAGGATAAAGCCAGCGCTTACTGACTGGGAGCAGTGCAGCGATGGGGGGGGGGGGGGGGGAAGAAAGTACAAGCGC